AACTTCCCGGTCGGTCACCCATCCTGACACTAGTCCAAGCTGAGCACGCTTAACTTTGGAGTTCTGTCCGAATGGGCTCCCGGAAAAGAAGGAATTCCTTATTGATATGAGTAGTCTATCATCCCTAATAAGCCAGGCTATCACATCGGGATGAGATCGTCTCATAGTGGTGGAATGTTGTGACGCCCTGAGACCGATGCGCCAGGTGTCTTCCAGTTATTCGTTGTTGTTGCCTTGTCATTTGCTTGCGTGTTGCATCTTGCCATGTCATCATCCGCATTGCATCTGCATGTTTTTAAAACTTGCATCCGTCCGGATTCCCCCAGTTCCGTCAGTTGTCCATTCTGAGCCCAACCACACTCGCACGCGCCCGCGGCACGTCTGAAATATTATTTTATAAGTGGCCGGAAAATATTCTCGGAATGGGTTCAAAGTTGGCATGCGGTGTTTTTATAGTGTAGATAGGCCGCCTGTCAAGTTTCATCGCATTCGGAGTCCGTTTGATGCCCCAACGGATAACTATAGCGACAATATATAGTCGGTCAAATCGTCGGACGTTTTCGGTCTCCGAAAATTGTTGCCGGGCTTTCCCTCTCTTTCCTCCCTAGACCGTCTACACAGTCCACTAACTACCGCCAGGTCCAACCTAACCTCTCTCGTCAGCCCGTGGCCCTCCTCGCGCGCGTGTCTGAAAGCTGTCCTGAACCCGATCCAGACTGTCGCTACCGTTGTGTCTGGATCATCCCCAAACATCTACAAAACATCTCCGTTTTTCTTTTTGGACTCCCTACCTAGTTTTTTCTCGACCGTCCGATTTTGATCGGAGGGACGAGCTAGCCCCTACCAAAAATCCACTGGCTATATATATTCGGTCTAACCCTAGTTTTTAGGCCCCTGTCCCATCCATCAAATCCTTCGCCGCCACCGCCACTGTCTTTCTCCCACCTCGGGATCCCCTTCGCACCAACCAGCCACCACAAAAAACTTCCAGATCCATCGATCCCCACCAACGCCCGCGCCCGCAACCAGGTACCCGAGGCCGAGCCTCCTGCCTCGTCCGCCCAACCCCGCCGGCGACCAACATGACCCCGTCGCCTTTTCCTTCACTTTCTTCTCCCTGCCTTCCTTTTTCCTTCTGCCTTCTCCTCCCGTTTGCCTCTCTCTCAATATCTCCCGCTCTCTCCCTGCTTGCTCTCACAGGATGCCGCGCCAGCACCAGGGAACTGGAAGTCCGCCGCCGACAAGCCCTGCCTCCGCGCCCCGCCACGTTCCGCTGCCTGCTGCCTCCTCTCCGTCCTGCTCGTCCCGCCTCCTGCCGGCCTCCCGGTCACCTGCCAGAGCCCCAGCGCCTCCGCAAGCCGCTGCCGTCGAGGCCTCAAGCCGCCCTCGACCTCCTCCGAGTGCCGCCCCTTGCCGGTCTCCTCTAACTGCCTCCACCGCGAGCCTTGTCACCGGGAACGAGTAGCACGTCGCCTGACGCATGGACGCCGCCCTTCAAAAGTCAACTTCGACCAGTCCGAGCATCGGATCGGCGCCGCTCCGCCATGCCGTCTCCGGCCCCTGCCCGCCGGAGCCGTGCCTCCCCCATACCCGCGAGCCCGCGCCGGCCATCTACCTCGCTGGCAACGACGAACAAGGCAGCCATGGCCCCTCCTTCGAACGAACCGGCATAGCCACACAGGCGTTGACCACGACTTCTGCCTGCGTGGGCTGCGACCCTCCCAAGGCCCAGTCGCCCGTGCCCTGCTGTAGCCTTAGCCCACCAGATCCGCTGGCCCCAAGGCCCGCGAGGTGAGCACAAGCCAGCCCATCCCTGTTTGTTATGTGACGCCCTGGGCGCTGCATATTATCCTGCGCTCACCCAGATTCGGCGCATGTCATATTTTTTTTTCTGGCTCTGCGATTTTAGCAATTATTCCAGGATTTACCTGTTTTGCAGGAAACCCCCAAAGGTTTATGCATTTAATAACTCACAAACCGTGCATCATATGTATAATCTTTATATATGTAACTTGCTTAGAATTTCATCTAGTTTCATAATATGCCACTTTTATATGTTTAAAATGTTTAAAATGCTGCTTGTTTAAATTTGCTCAAATAACATCCTAAAATGTTTTATTTCATAACTTAATAACCGTAGCTCTATTTTAAATAAACTTTATATGTAAATGGGGTAGAAAAATGCATAGATTAACATGATGTACTTACTTTGCATGTTTAACAACTCTAAAATATGGTTTAGGGCAGAACAGTACCAAATCCATAATTTGCATATGGGGATTCTCGGACTTGTTGTTGGTTGTTCCGGCCTCATTTAAACTTGTCTAGATAGGTAGTTTTATTATGCTTCACCCCTTGCCATGCTAACAAACATTTAATTTTGTTGAGTACATAAACGGGAGATAACTAAATAAGTCATGTGGTGTTTCGTCAATATGCAACTCGTTGCATATTGAGCTCCACTTAACTTATAGTTTTGTTTGTGCACTTTGCCATGTCATGCCTCATTAAATCAAACATGCATCATACTTGGTTGTGCATCATGCCATGTTTATGTGATGGTTGTTTACTATGTTGTTTGCTTCTTTCCGGGTTGCTTCTCTCGGTAGCTTCGGTTTTGTTCCGGAGTTGTGAGGATCCGTTTGACTACATCCGTTTGTCTTCTTCATGGACTCGTTCTTCTTCCTTGCGGGATCTCAGGCAAGATGACCATACCCTTGAAATCACTTCTTTCTTTGCTTGCTAGTTGTTCGCTCTATTGCTATGTCGCGATACCTACCACTTGCTATATCATGCCTCCCATATTGTCATGTCAAACCTCTAACCCACCTTCCTAGCAAACCGTTGTTTGGCTATATTACTGCTTTTGCTCAGCCCCTCTTATAGTGTTGCTAGTTGCAGGTGAAACTGAAGTTTGTTCCATGTTGGAACATGGATATATTGGGATATCACAATATACCTTATTTAATTAATGCATCTATATACTTGGTTAAGGGTGGAAGGCTCGGCCTTATGCCTGGTGTTTTGTTCCACTCTTGTCGTCCTAGTTTCCGTCATACCAGTGTTATGTTCCTTGATTTTGTGTTCCTTACGCGGTTGGGTGTTATGAGAACCCCTTGACAGTTCGCTTTGAATAAAACTCCTCAAGCAAGGCCCAACCTTGGTTTTTATTTGCCTAACAACCTAAGCCTTTTTCCCTTGGTTTTCCGGAGCCTGAGGGTCATCTTATTTTAACCCCCCCGGGCCAGTGCTTCTCTAAGTGTTGGTCCGAACCAGAGCATCATGCGGGACCGTCCCTTGGCAACTTGGGTTATGTTGGTACCTGTACACTTAGCTTATCCGGTGTGCCCTGAGAACGAGATATGTGCAGCTCCTATCGGGATTTTTCGGCACATCCGGGCGGCTTTGCTGGTCTTGTTTTACCATTGTCAAAATGTCTTGTAACCAGGATTCCGAAACTGATCGGGTCTTCTCGGAGAAGGAATATCCTTCATTGACCGTGAGAGCTTGTGATGGGCTAAGTTGGGACACCCCTGCAGGGTTTGAACTTTCGAAAGTTGTGCCCGCGGTTATGAGCAGATGTGAATTTGTTAATATCCGGTTGTAGAGAATTTGACACTTAACTTAATTAAAATGAATCAACCGCGTGTGTAGCCGTAATGGTCTCTTTCCGTCGGAGTCCGGGAAGTGAACACGGTCTTGTGTTATGATTGTACGTAAGTAGTTTCAGGATCACTTCTTGATCACTTCTACCTTCACGACCATTGCGTTGTTTCTCTTCTCGCTCTTATTTGCGTATGTTAGCCACCATATATGCTTAGTGTTGCTGCAGCTCCACCTCATTACCTTACCCTACCCATAAGCTTAAATAGTCTTGATCTCGCGGGTGTGAGATTGCTGAGTCCTCGTGACTCACGGATACTTCCAAACAGTTGCAGGTGCCGATGATACCAGTGCAGGTGACGCACTCAGCTCAAGTGGGAGCTCGCTGAAGATCTTGATCGTTGTTTTGTTTCGTTTCCTATTGATCAGTAGTGGAGCCCAATTAGGATAATCAGGGATCTAGCATTTGGGGTTGTCTTCCTTTATTTTTGGTTCCGTAGTCGGACCTTGATTGTACTTTGGATGATGTATGTTTAACTTGTATTTGTGTGAAGTGGCGATTGTAAGCCAACTCTTTATCCCTTTCTTATTCAGTACATGGGATGTGTGAAGATTACCCCTCTTGCGATAAACCTATCATGCGGCTATGCCTTCAAGTCGTGCCCCGACACGTGGGAGATATAGCCACATTGTGGGTGTTACAACGACTCCATGAACTTGTTGTAGAAGTACTTCATTCGAATCCATCGTGTTTGCTTCAAAGTAAACAACTGTAGCGTCAGATTTCTTGGCAATGGCATTTGGCCGAACACTTACTTGGCGTGGTGTTTGCTATGGATGACGTCGGCAGGGAGCGGAGGTTACTTGTGTTGCGATGAAACCCAGTAGAACGATGGTGTAGTCCAAGGTGGGAAAGCACCTGCATGGTGCGGCGAAGGTCTGACAAGGCCTACATGGCGGTCGGAATTGTGTAGGGTGTGGATACACATCACATGAGGAAGGAGGAGTTGGAGAAGCCCGTCCCTCGTTTGGTGCCGGTTTGTGGGATTTCGAACATCCGGATCGGTCCAGACAATTTTGATGACCATCGTGGGATGGCAAAAAATATCTACACTGTCCGGTTCGGACATTTGCGGGGGATTTGATGATATGCGTTGGAGTTGCCCTTAGCTACCAAATATGCATAACTTCCAAACAAAAGAGTTCATCACATACATAACTTAGTACAAGCTACGTCATACAATGGCCGAATTTTGGCCTAGCAGAAATTTAACAGTAAAGTTTACTTGCAGCGTGCGATGAGAACCCGGCACATAAAATCTCTAGTTTGCATCTACGTATGATTTACAGTCTGCCAGCTAGTCAAAAGTTTTGCTGATTCAGAGTCCAATGTTCTTCTACAAGCATAATAGTAGATCAGTGAAGGTGGCTAGCAGCATCAGCTGCTGCCATCGCAACATGGCCGGCGGCTGCCACGAAGCGGCGTCTGAGGTCTTGTTGAAGATGCCTTTGGGCGTGCTCCCGCGCCGGCGCGGCGAGCATGTACCATTACTCTGCGCAAAACACACAGACAAATCTTGTGAACACTTTGCCGAAACATGCAGTAAACATTGGCAGGCAAGCAGCGAGGCATGTATATTTACAGTGCAGGCAGCTATGCTTCCGCATCCACAAACCAGCCCGCCGTTGGCCTTGTCCGTGGCTTCCGCGGCGCCGCCTCCGTCGCTTCTCTGGGTAACCATCACCAGAAATTATTCGACATCATCAGCACTCAGCGAGTCCTCATCGTGCTCATATTCATCATAGAGTAACTAACTGATAACTGATAAGGATGTGATACCTTGTAGAAGTCGACGGCGATGAAGTTGGCCCATCTGTCCCCCGACGCGGCGTGGCAGGTGTCGAGCACGCCCAGCAGCTGCGCCGAGTTGTCCTTGCACGCCTCCGGGAAGTTGGGGAGGTCCCGGAAGTAGTTCACCAGCACCAGAGACCTCGACAGGTCGTTCATGGCCGCCGACTCGGCGCGGTTCGGGCACGACCCCTTCACCATCCCTTTGCTCCCATCTGCAGCACATGGAATGGACAGATACAACATCGTCAGGTTCTCCTTCCTGGCTAATCGCTCACGTGTGCTGACGGATCGATGATGATCGGCGCGCACGTACACTGGTTCTCGACGACGTAGCCCCACTCGTGTGCGAAGCCCTCGGCGGCCTCCTTGGCGGACCTGGAGGTGAAGACGAGGAGGCGGTGGTTGTCGCGGACCATGTCGCTGAGCAGCGGCCAGTCGCCGCCGTTCTTGGGCATGCGCCACACGGGGAACAGGTACGGCGTCAGGCCGGAGGCGTTGAACACCCGGGTGAGCCCCATGGGCGCCTCCACGTAGTCCTCGATGAAGATCGTGATCACCTCGGAGGGGTTCCTCCTCAGGAACGCCTCGATCTCCCGGAGCACGTTTACCGCCGGCGTCTGTCGTCGACGAACATGCAACGCTAGTTAGTCGTCGACGAGAGGGATTGGTCCTAGTAAAGTATAGTTTGGTTGGTGTTTTGTTACGAATGCGGTGAAGTTTCGGCATGCGCCTCCGTAGGAGTGGCAGAGCCATATGTCGTTGCGGAAGTCGTACATGTCCAGCATCAGCCCCCTCACGCCGTTCTGCGACACAAGAAATTCTATTGCTCTCTCTGTTTTTATTTAGTTCGCATATTAACTTTGATCAAAGTCAAGCTTTACAAACTTTGATCAAGTTTATAAACAAAAATACTAAGATATACAATAACAAATCAACAACATTAGATTTATTATTGAATGTACTTTCACATCGTATAGATTTATTATGATAAATGTCTATATTATTTTCTACAAACTTGGTCAAACTTTACGAAGTTTGATTTCAGTCAACTCTAATATGCAGAGTAAATAAACAGTCAAATCTAATATACAGAGTAAATAAAAACGAAGGGAGTACTTGGGACCTAACCCTTGAGCTCGAGAATGGCATCAATTTTACGTTGGAAGTAGTAATTCCGAGGGACTCTCGTCCCGTCCACAGATCACATCGTGTTTATTTCAGCGAGGACTGAATGCGACCAGAAATGGACGTGCTATCCGAATTGGAGCAGACACCACACGTCTCACCCACACTGGATACAAAGAGAGGAGTGCCCGTCATGGGTGGCTGCCATGTGTGCGGTGTGGGTAGTCCTTGCAGCTAGCATTGCCGCGCCAACGCTCCAAGCAAGCGTGTGGGCGTGCACGCAAACCAGCGACAGAAAAAGACCGGCGCCTGGAGGTGCGCTGCGCCTTGGACACGTGGACGAGGATCTTTGACATGTGTTGCGTCCGGGGACACCTCACCCCACCGCGGCACGCTGACAGGGTCTAACATGGACTCTAATACTCGCCGGTCCCACAGGTCAGCAGGTAGACGGAAGAGAGAGCAGAGCCAGAGCGGGAGCGAGAGCGGGCGGGGATGGACTCACATTGAGCTGCTCGGCGATGGTGTCCTGCTGGTTAAACGCCGTGACGATGGCCGTCCCGGTCTGGGACTGGGTGCCCAGCCGCGCGAAGGAGTTGTGCGTCGTCAACCACGCGTAGCGGTTGAACGGCAGCCCCCGGTCCTTGCTCTGCGGGTCGACGGGGGTCACGCGGGTGCAGCGCGGCCGCACGTTGCCGTCCACCACGCACGTCTCGCAGTGCAGCCCGGCGTCGCAGTTCCGCGACAGCGCGCACGTCTCGCCCACCTGCATGCAGTGCAGCAGCCGGAGATCATGTCCGTCCACGGGAGCGCAGCGCAATCACAATCGCCGCCGAGAAAGCTCAATGTCACTGGTGACATGTCCAAAACCACCGGCGAGCGTACCTTCCGTGCGGAGACGGCGACGGGGCACGAGCACAGGAAGGCGGCGGCAACGGCGAAAGCCACGACGAGGAGCACCGTCTCCTTGGCCATCTCAATTCTTCTTGCCGCGGCCGCCCTCCTCCGGCAAGCTCTGCCCTGCGCTGCGCGGCTGGTCCTCCCAGAGACGGCGGACAGCGGAAGCTGGTGGAGGAGCAAGCCTGCAATCCTTGTGTTGTGTGGCTTGTAAGGCCGGACATTCCAGGTTTCGTCGCTTGCTTATGTGTGTGGTTTACGCTCTGTTTTTCCGCGTCGCTCATCTTGGTCGCTGGCTGCGGCGTTTGTTTGTTATTGCGCTTGGCCCCATGTGTCAGTCAAGGGGACAGAGTGATGGTACGGGTGCGGGCTCATCCAGTTGCGGTGGTCAGGTGCAATGTCAAATAGTCGTTGTCATACTACGATAGGGGGTGTTAGAGCAACTCCCCGACCCATTTCATCCGTCAGCATAAGTTTGGGTCGGCGCGGACAAAAATGAAGGCTCAACGCGCCGACCCAAACTCAAATCGTGTCCGTCCGGCGTCCGCGCCGATCCACTTTCGGTTCAAAATTGCGCCTTGAATGCGTCGGCGCGAACGCGAAACGGACGCGCCGCGCGTCTCGCCGTCCGCCGTGACCCCACCTGACGGCCACCCAACCGCCACGGTCAACATAATTTATGACGACTACCTACCTTGGGCCCACGCGTCAGCGACGGCGGTAGTCCTTTTTTAAGCCGGACGTGCGGCCGGGCCGTCCTCATCCACTTACCACTCGCCCCACGTCCCCATCTGGCACCCCTGCCCTCATGCCAGCGACAACCCTAGCCACCGCCAGCATGGGTTTCTTCTCCGGCATCGGCAGCAGCCGCAAGGGCAAAGCCCCCGCCCGCCATTCCCCCTCCCTCCCCGCCCTCCTCGCGCCGGCGCGCGCTCCCCGGCAAAGGCAGCGCATCACCAGGCCGAGTAGCACTGGCACCACCGCGTGCCTCTGCCGTACCCGGACGTGACGCTGCCGCATGACTGACATTTGGATCCGGAGAGGATCCCGGTGCCGGCGGCGCCGCGGACGGCGAGGGCCCATGCGGAGGAGGTGCGGCGCCGACGGGCGTTGCTGACGTCGGAGCAGCGCGCCGACCCGCACTTCGCCGCCGACTCGCCCAACTGGGCTCGATGGTTCGCCTTCGAGCACGAGGAGACGAGGCGACGCAGCGTCCGCGGCGTCAACCACAGCCTGCCGCCGCCCGCGCTCATCGTCCGCGACGAGGACCAGGAGGCCGAGGACACCTACCAGGCAGCCATCAAGGAGAGCGAGGACGAGGAGCGGCGGACGAGGCGGCCATGGCCCTCTCCGCGGCGGGCGACTGCGTCGTGCCGCCAATGGCCCCACCGTCCCCGCCCAAAACCGAGTCGGAGGAGCCGGCCTACCGCGAGCGCTACTCCTGGACCGGATTAGTGCGCGAGTGGGTCAGCGCTCAGCCGATCTGGTTCGGGGCGACGGAGAAGTAGGAGGCGGCCTACCTCGACCACTGGCGCCGTGTTCGGCTGGCCGAGGAACGTCGGGAGGGCGAGCGTCTGCAGATGCTCGAGCGCGAGGCGACGAGGAGGCGCGCCAGGCCCAGGCAGCGGCGGCAAAGCCCGACACCACCGCTGTCTGAAACACGGCGTTCCCCTGGGCCGACCCTGCGCCGACGTTGATCAACCTCACCGGTCCCGACGCAGATGTTGCCGCCGACGAGGACGCCTAGGGCAGCGCGTCGTCTTGTTTTTAGTGTTTTTATTAATGTAATGTGGACTTTCGCCGGCCTTCGTGACCGGTTTATATGTTTAATTAAATGCATATATTTATTTTCAAACTGCTCGCTATATTTTTTTGGCGCGTCGAGGAAATAGGTCGGGCCAGCGTTGGGCGCTCGCGCCGACCCAAACACAGCGCCGGACGTTTATGTCCGCCGGGCCGATCCAAACGGACAAAAAGCGGACAAAAGCGCCGTCCATTTGAGTCGGCCCGTTGGAGTTGCTCTTAGGCCAACTCCACCGCGTGACCCTATCCTATCCGGCCCCGTTCGTTTGGGGTAAAACGGACAAACGAGGCGGCCCAGCGCGCGACGGCCCGGACCCATCTTGTCCGTTTTGTGTCCGGGCCAACCCATTTCGAGCACAAACTGTTGGAAATATGCCCTAGAGGCAATAATAAATTGGTTATTATTATATTTCCTTATTCATGATAATCGTTTATTATCCATGCTAGAATTGTATTGATAGGAAACTCAGATACATGTGTGGATACATAGACAACACCATGTCCCTAGTAAGCCTCTAGTTGACTAGCTCGTTGATCAATAGATGGTTACGGTTTCCTGACCATGGACATTGGATGTCGTTGATAACGGGATCACATCATTAGGAGAATGATGTGATGGACAAGACCCAATCCTAAGCCTAGCACAAGATCATGTAGTTCGTATGCTAAAGCTTTTCTAATGTCAAGTATCATTTCCTTAGACCATGAGATTGTGCAACTCCCGGATACCGTAGGAGTGCTTTGGGTGTGCCAAACGTCACAACGTAACTGGGTGGCTATAAAGGTACACTACAGGTATCTCCAAAAGTGTCTGTTGGGTTGGCACGAATCGAGACTGGGATTTGTCACTCCGTGTAAACGGAGAGGTATCTCTGGGCCCACTCGGTAGGACATCGTCATAATGTGCACAATGTGATCAAGGAGTTGATCACGGGATGATGTGTTATGGAACGAGTAAAGAGACTTGCCGGTAACGAGATTGAACAAGGTATCGGATACCGACGATCGAATCTCGGGTAAGTATCGTACCGATAGACAAAGGGAATTGTATACGGGATTGATTGAATCTACGACATCGTGGTTCATCCGATGAGATCATCGTGGAGCATGTGGGAGTCAGCATGGGTATCCAGATCCCGCTATTGGTTATTGACTGGAGAGTTGTCTCGGCCATGTCTGCATGACTCCCGAGCCCGTAGGGTCTACACACTTAAGGTTCGATGACGCTAGGGTTATAGGAAAAGTATGTACGCGGTTGCCGAATGTTGTTCGGGGTCCCGGATGAGATCCCGGACGTCACTAGGAGTTCCGGAATGGTCCGGAGGTAAAGATTGATATATAGGAAGTATGGTTTTGGCCACTGGAAGTGTTCCGGGTATCACAGGTAGTGTACCGGGACCACCGGAGGGGTCCGAGGGTCCACCAGGTGGGGCCACCAGCCCCGGAGGCCTACATGGGCCAATAGTGGGAAGGGACCAGCCCCTAGGTGGGCTGGGGCGCCTCCCACCAAGGCCCAAGGCGCCTCCAAGAGGGAAGGGGGCAAACCCTAGGGCAGATGGGCCCTAAGGCCCACCCCAGGTGCGCCTCCCCCTCTCCCCCTTATGGCCGCCACCCAGATGGGATCTGGGGGCTGCCGCCACCCCTAGGGAGGGAACCCTAGGTGGGGGCGCAGCCCCTCCCCTTCCCCTATATATACTTGAGGTATTGGAGGCTGCAAGACACACGAGATCCTCTCCCTCTTGGGCAGCCCTACCTCTCTTCCTCCTCGTCTCTTGTAGTGCTTGGCGAAGCCCTGCTGGAGTCCCGTGCTCCTCCACCACCACCACGCCGTCGTGCTGCTGCTGGATGGAGTCTTTCCCAACCTCTCCTTCTCCCCTTGCTGGATCAAGGCGTAGGAGACGTCACCGGGCTGTACATGTGTTGAACACAGAGGTGCCGTCCGTTCGGCACTAGGATCATCGGTGATTTGGATCACGATGAGTACGACTCCATCAACCCCGTTCACTTGAACGCTTCCGCTTAGCGATCTACAAGGGTATGTAGATGCACTCTCCTTACCCTCGTTGCTAGATTACTCCATAGATTGATCTTGGTGATGCGTAGAAAATTTTGAATTTCTGATACGTTCCCCAACAGTGGTATCAGAACCAGGTTTATGCGTAGTTACTATGCACGAGTAGAACACAAAGTATTTGTGGGCGTCGATATTGTCAATTATCTTGCCGTTACTAGTCTCATCTTGATTCGGCGGCATCGTGGGATGAAGCGGCCCGGACCAGCCTTACACGTACGCTTACGTGAGACCGGTTCCACCGACTGACATGCACTAGTTGCATAAGGTGGCTGGCGGGTCTCTGTCTCTCCCACTTTAGTCGGATCGGATTCGATGAACAGGGTCCTTATAAAGGGTAAATAGAAATTGACAATTCACGTTGTGGTTTTGGCGTAGGTAAGAAACGCTCTTGCTACAAACCTATAGCAGCCACGTAAAAAACTTGCAACAACAATTAGAGGACGTCTAACTTGTTTTGCAGCAAGTGTTTTGTGATGTGATATGGCCAAAGGATGTGATGAATGATATATGTGATGTATGAGATGATCATGTTCTTGTAATAGGGATCACGACTTGCATGTCGATGAGTATGACAACCGGCAGGAGCCATAGGAGTTGTCTTAATTTATTTATGACCTGCGTGTCAATATAAACGTCATGTAATTACTTTACTTTATTGCTAACCGTTAACTGTAGTAGTAGAAGTAATAGTTGGCGAGACAACTTCATGAAGACACGATGATGGAGATCATGGTGTCATGCCGGTGACAACGATGATCATGGAGCCCCGAAGATGGAGATCAAAAGGAGCAAAATGATATTGGCCATATCGTGTCACTTTTTGATTGCATGTGATGTTTATCATGTTTTTGCATCTTATTTGCTTAGAACGACGGTAGTAAATAAGATGATCCCTCATTAAAATTTCAAGAAAGTGTTCCCCCTAATTGTGCACCATTGCGAAAGTTCGTCGTTTCGAAGCACCACGTGATGATCGGGTGTGATAGATTCTTACGTTCGAATACAACAGGTGTTGACGAGCCTAGCATGTACAGACATGGCCTCGGAACACATGCGAAACACTTAGGTTAACTTGACGAGCCTAGCATGTACATACATGGCCTCGGAACACAAGAGACCGAAAGGTCGAGCATGAGTCGTATGGTAGATACGATCAACATGAAGATGTTCACCGATGTTGACTAGTACGTCTCACGTGATG